AGATGTTTTTATTTTCTTTTCCTAAGGATACATACTCACCCTCTAAGTATGCTTGTCTCCTAATTGAAGAGTATTAGGATAATTCTCAGGTTTTATTGATTTTTTTTCTTTCTTAGGTACTATATCTATAGTAGAATTGGGTTGAGGTATAGCTTGAATGCATCATGTTTCAAAGTTTTGGTACAAGATTGTATGTTTTTCAGTCACTGCTGGCAAATTTTAGAGTTTTTATTAAAACTATTTTCTTAGCCATTTTTATATGGTATTAGAGAAGGGAACATCTGTGATACTGCTTCACGCTGCCATCTTCACTGGAAAGTCTCATGTGAATATTTTTTAGATTCTATAAAAGTTTTGAAAACTTGAAGCAGTGCTTCAGCTTGTAATGGTGTTTGTGCACTATTGACTTTAGGGTTTGGTTGCTGCTGCCATTGTTTGTAGCATTGGAGAGCTGGGAGATACTGGACACTTACAGCTCATGGCCACAGGATGCATTAGCTGCCCCCAAATTAGCAGAGCAACTAATTACATTTAACCACAAGGATGTTGTGGGTGATCCTGGGAGACCAATCTCAGTGGAATGGTTCAGGTAGAAGCCAGGCTGCAGGGAATTCAGTAGGGAATGGACAACGATGAAGTAGAAACAGTGAGTTTGGACAACAAATGAAGACTGCCTGAGCAGAGAGAGGGAGAGACAGCCAGCAGTCGGAGCAATGTGTGGAGTCAGGGGCGAACTTACAGTTTTCATGTAAGGGAGAGACCTGAGCATTTTAAAATTGCGAAGAATCTAATAGAGAAGAAGAGGTTGGAGTTCAAGGAAAATGTGGAAACAACTGATAAATGTTAAACAGAGTAGGATCCAGAGTGCAGGAGGAGAAATTAGTCTTTGATATAAGAGGAGCAACTCTGTCCATGGATGGAGGAAAAATGCAGATGGCCACAGTTACATCTGAATGTGGGGACCAGGAGTCGAGAGAATTCCAAGAAAAGGAGATGAGGTCGTCTCCTGAGAGTAAACGGGGTAGAGTGGGGGATTGAAGAGACCGGAAGATATTTTAAATAGCTTGAAATAGCTGATGGAAAATGAGGAAAAGTGACCATTTGTGACATTCAGAGAGTTTCCAGGGGATCTGGAAGAATCTCTGTAAGCTAGTTGAGTTTGGAGACAATAAGTTAGTGATGGATCTTGTCTTCACGTCTCAGTGGTTATAAACAGCTATTCTCAGAAACACATACTCAAAGAAAGAATGGGGTGGGGAGAGGTAGATTGATGGATTGAGCGAAGGGTGGGGCTTCCAGGGAGGTCAGGGGATTGACCGGGAAATGACTAAGTGATAGACTATCGGATCGCAGCCGGACTAGGAGGATGTGACCACAGGAGGGGCTGGAGGATTTGATGAAGAACAAAAGTTACCGAAAGAGTAAATGGAGAGAGGCAAAAGTAGCAGAAGTTGTAAGCAGAAGAGTGAGCCACTTTCTTGTTAAGAGATCAGTGCTAAATCAATGTTAACACACCTGAAAACCTAAGTGTGGGTGTGAACACTCGTGGAGTGAAACAGAAGGCCAGTGAAGTGGAGCTAATGAGCTGAGAGACTTGGGCACTGTATGGGGATCCACTTAGACAACTAAGTCACCAGGATGATGGAGGAAACTGGGATAAATAAAAGCCTCTTATCCATGCACACGAGTCTTAACTAAAAGAAGGGGGCAATCAGGCAGACAGCAGCTAGCGGCAATGAAGTGGCACAGAAGGTGACACAGTTGGAGAACTGGAGCCCAAAGCAGTCTCCCTACATATCTAGGTATAGGACTAACAGCCCAAGTGTTGCACTGAGGCCATGGGTGTCACCTTCCGACCCTCAAGTTTCAGACCGATATAAGAGAGAAGAGTGTCCTCAAGGACAAGAGATGGTGGGAATGTTCTTGGAATAAATTAAAGCTGTCAGAGAGATTGTCCGTCACGGAATTCAGATTCCAGAGGGCACAAAGGAAGCGCATGAGAGGAAAGGGAGTGCTGGGAAGTAAGGTTAGGGCAGAGGAAGCACAAAGCAGAGCGGTAGCAAGACACAGAAAAAGGTGTATGACCCGAGCATGTGACCTGAGGAGTGGAGCAAATGTGACAGGGATGGGGGTACAAAGGAGGTAAGTGGTCTCATGCATTCCTGAAAGTTTGGTCCCAGCATCCACAGGTAGACAGAGGGTGGATAAGAAGAGAAAAGCATGATTAAGATGCTGTGAAATGTACCAATCCCTACTAGGCAGAGGACGTGAGACTCTCTAGGAAGTGATGCCCTTCCTTCCAAGACTGTGTTGGGCCAAATCCTTCATGATACAGATGCCAAGATGGGATTTGGCATAAAAGAAATATATGAGAGGAGATGTGTGCAAGAGCTGGGGAAGCTAACAGATCCCAGTGCAGGTCTGACCCTGAGGCAAGGAGAGGGGAGGAAGCAAGGTTTCATGGAAGCAGCAGCTAAAGTCACCCACCAGAGGGGTCCACCTCCTAGGAATGGGCCTGTCGTTAGAGTCCCTAATAGAGTCATTGAGCGGGAGCAGCCCAGGGTGGGCATGGCCTGGCATGAACGCAGGCTTGGGTCTCAGAGCTCTGCAGCTGGGACCCTCCCTTCAGAGCTGTGGGGACACATTTTCAGGGCCGTCACCCAGCACGGACTTGCATGTCTAAGGAAATATTTCTCAAAATATGCTCAACTGAGCTCTTGGCCCAAAAGTATCAGCATGAAAATTTACAAAGGAGATTTCATAATCAGACAGTTGTGGGGAGCACTGCATACCTCTGTTCCTCATGGAAGATCATAATGCCTACTTGCATATTAACAGCTCTGAGTACTCCTATAGTAAAGAAACTTGCTTTAATATTTTAGACCAGCTATTTTTTAAATATATTTGAGCAAAGTCCCCCTGAACTTTTTTTTTCCACACTTTTTAGCATACTGCAGAATAAACTGAGCATGCATTGAGAAAGGCTGCTTTAAGGGATAGTTAACAGTTTTTCTCCTGGTTAGTATATATAAAATCTGTATTTCCCCATTTGATTATCAACACAATTGTATTTTAGAAGTATCATCTCCCTTTTGCTGCCCTCCCAGGTATCCCGGCTACTAAGAGGGATAAGCACTAAGGGGTGGAATTCTGTGGGAGAAAATTTGGGAACAAGAGAAGACATTCTCAGAATCCCTAAAATTACAACGTGTATCTTTAATCTATGAGTCAATTCCAAACTACTAACCCAGCAGAAAATTGTTTTCTAAGAGCAGTTTTTGTACGTTTTCCATTAAAATTATAATAGCTGTTATTTGGAGATATCACTATCATAGATTCTTTTTTTCTATACTTTCCAAATTTTCTGTAAGATTGTAATATTTGCTAATTAAAATTAGAAAGATAGATAAATTAAAGGATAATCTGAGGGTACTGATATTTGAAGAAGCCATTGTTAAGGGGTAGATTAAATTACCATAATTCTAAACATTTTAATACCCATATCAAGATCAACATCAAGGTCAATATCAAGATGGACCTCTGAACAAGGTCTTCACGCTAGCATTCCTCTATAACTTCACTGAAGTAAATTTAACGTTGTGTCAATCAGAGACACCCAGTTGAGAGACAGAAACCACACCAGTAATTTGAACAACGAACATTAATAACTCTAAAGAATTATTAACTAATAAAGGGGATAGACACTAAAGGAAGTAAGGAGAACCCTAAACAACACAGGCATGGCAGGTGCAGGGAGCAGCCGCCAGCTCTGGGAGTTTGCTGAGGGGCTGCAAGTTGGGGCTGGTGGGCAGGGAACTGCCCGAAGGGGTACCTGTGAGGTTCGCAGGAGGGTAGCCAGCCTGCGTCTCCAGCATGCCTCTGTGAAGGAAGCTGCTCCCGAAGTGCCAGCAAAACTCACTAGGAAGCTGCATGCTAGGGCACCAGCAAAACTTGATAGGAAGCTGCCTGTTGTTGTGAACGCAAAATTCACTGGAGGGTGGGTATCAATAGATCTCCACACTGCTCTGGCTAATCAGCCCAGGGAGCGAAAGCAAAACAAAACAGAATAAAAACAAATCCTCCCATGCTTTATCACCAACTGGCGAAGGAGAAATGTTCGCAGAAATGTCCAGCTCTAAAATCACAAAGCAGAACAAAGAAGGGAAGATTGGGAGTTGAAAGGCAGTAAATGGATAACTGGTGCATTGTATGCTTTGATTTTTTATTGAGGGTCAATAAAGTAGGAAGGATATTTCTACATCTTCTGTAAAATTATTGCTAAAGCTGTCAGCTAGTGTGCGTTTTCAGCTCCCTGAGATAAGAACTTAGTTACAAGAGAGGATGAGACGATGAGCATTAATTCCAGGGCCGAATCATTTGCTGCTTCTGTGCCCACCTTCTCAGCAAGGCCTTCTCGACCACCCTGCTCAACAGGTGAACCCCAAACCCCTGGGTCTTCTTGTGCTCCTTCCCTGCTGTACCTTTCTCCTAACCTACAATTTACTCACGTTGTTTTTGTCTGTAGAATATGAGCTCCACGAAGGTCAGGATTTTTGTCTGTTTTGTTCATTGATGTATCCCCTGCACCCAGAACAGATCTGGGCACATAGTAGCACCCTATAAAGACTTGCTGAGTGAATGAGTGATCTCCATACAGGGGGAATGAGAGTATAAAGTGATCGTTTCTTAGACTGACACTGGGGGTGAATGACAGTGACAAAGAGTAACTCAGACCTTCAAAGGGGGGTTTGTGAACTGCCTATGAAAGGCACAGAATGTGGTGTAGTTTCGCCAATAAGGACGGCCCTGTTATGGTTTCAAATACTTGGTGGTAAATAGAACTTTCCTATTGCCTCAACTTCAGATTTCTAAACCACTCCTTCCTGCCAGTTTAGGAGAAGTTTCCAGAGTCCCGTGGCCTGAGTGTGAGTAGGCTGAATGCTGGGAATCAAGCCAAAACAAAATAAAACTGAAAGTGAAGACCAGTGTGGGGGATGCGCGATCCTGAATTAACAACACCATGTTTTTGGAGAAACCTCACATTTCACGTGCTGCTGGGGTATATGGTATATGAGGTGCCGGCTTCTTGGTTTTTCCCTCCTCTTCAACTGATGAGCAGTGTGGATATTCATGAGGTTTGTCAAGTTCCTAAGCCTGAGCTGACTCCCCTTCCCTTGTCTGAGACTGACCAACGAGGATGAGCAGTAAGGCTTCGTGAGCAGCATTATCTACTCTCGCAAGGTTCTGGGAGCCCTCCTGAGGCTCCCAATCATCCGGCTGCAGGACTAGAGGCCCCAGCAGGAGGGGAGCTCCGCGGATTCCAGGCTGTAGCCGCCACCAGTGCTTCTCAGGGCACAGGAGCCCACGCTGGGGAGGAGAGGACTTGCTGGAAACAGTCGCAGCCCAGGTTCCCCCCTGCACCCACCCCTGCGTGTCCTCGTCTGCCTCGGCTGTCAGTACGTTGGTTTCAATTTAATGCTCACTCACATATTTGTCTGGGCTATTTTTATGTTTATTTTTCTCTTAATGGTGTCCCCATTTTCTGTTTTGTCAGGTACATATTCCCTACTGAATGCTACCTCAAACACGACTTTGGCATGAAAAGGATGTCATTCAACCAGAGATGTAAATGCTGAGCCAACAGGTAGGACTGGTCCCCAAATATGGCCAATCACAACCATAAAGAGTCATTGACCCGAGAGAAGTTCGTTCGCATTTTTTCAGTTCTTTCAGGTTCCTCTTCTCAGTTCATCCTTCTTCCAAACCACACTGTGCCCCTCGCGCCCCTCCCCACTGCCTCCTCCCACCATCCTGAATCTGGGCTGTTCTTTCAGTTTCCTTTCCCTCTGGCCTCAGGTCTATCCCTACCCCCAGCCTCAGTTTGGAGTTCAGCTTCTCCTCCCAGTCTCTCCCACCCCAGTCGATGTTGCTTCTGTGTCCTCACCCCCAGGCTTTCCTCCTCTGGGTTCCCCTTGGCATGCAGGGTCAGCTCCTCCAAGTGTCCCAGCAGTATCACTTCCAGACGCTTACAGAACTCCCTGCTTTTCTCAATACCAGGGCCCAGGGCAGCCCTGCACTCGCTGGCACTAAGGCCCCCTCTCTGCCCCCAAACCAACTCCTTCCCAACTCACATCACTCTGTGGCTTCCATTTTCCCAAAATCTTCTCTTGGGACCCCATCTGCCAAAGCACACAGTGCCTTTCAAAAATGACAATAACAGCCCAAACACACACCGTCCACTGTGGCTCCCACTACAGGTTCCTGGTCCCTGTATTTATTCAGGGAAAGGGCGTCTGCGAATGCTGATGAGATGCCGCATTTGAGGGTGAGGCCCCTCAGGGTTGGGTTTGTGGTTACCACAAACATTTTTCCCCTCTGATGGTAGCTGGTAGCTATTCAGAGTGTCACACGTCAGAAGCCGAGGGGTCTTGGTGCGTCTCAGTGCCTTGACATCACTCCCTTCATATCACTTGGAGCAGCAGTGACTTGGCTCTCTTATCTAGGCAGCCAGGAAGACAGCTACCTAAAGGCCACTGAAAAATCCAAGGCGGGGTGCAGGGGAAGAGGGAGAGAAAACAACTTCCCAGTTTCTCTCAGACTTAAGACATACACTGGAGGCCTGGCGGAGCTCTCGAGTTTATTTCAGTTGGTTCCTGAGATCTGTCACTGTGGGGAAGAGTCCCCAGGGGATTAAGCAGTGGTTTCTCCTGCCCCTCAGGGTCAGGACCAGTCTGTTTGGAAGGAAGCTGTCTTTTCACTGTCCCAGGCCATTGCCACAGCTCCGTGGATGGTCAGTCGGGAGGCTGTGCCCTTTCCCCCAGGAACTCGGTCAAGTGGTAAGTCATCTACGTATTTAACCAGTTATATCGACACTGATGCTTAGCATGGTTTCACTTTTGCAAACATTTGTTTATGTCTTTCAAGAGCAAAACATCTCAGCCTGTCACAGGAAGCTGCTTCAGGAGGTAAGCAGGTTTTTTAAACATGTAGAAATCAAGACCTATACCAATTTCTTGAAATTAAGCCATGGTACTTGCTTCTCTTTAGTTGTTTGGTTTCTTACATATTGTTTTCAAGTAGGCAAGTTGTTTCTACCAAAAGAAAGTAACTTCTATGAAGACACTGTCTTTCTGCTCTATTTCCCGTGGCATCTAGCCCACCACCAAGCTCCTACGTGCCAGCAAGTAGAAGGGGCATAGCAGCTGCTCTGGGGAAGTGGGCACGTGTGAGAGAAATGTTTATTTCTGGTCTTCTGGGATGCAGACCTGCTCTGGTTAAAATTAAGTGTCAGAAAGGGGAAAGTGTGGCTGTTAGGATACTAGTTCTGTTTGTTGTTTCCTCCAGGATAATATAGCTGTAGGAAGGGAAAAATAATCTCTCACTTCTCCACAGGGCAGCCTGAAGATGGTTAATTACACGTTGGCACCAGAGGACGAGTATGATGTCCTCATAGAGGGCGACCTGGAGAATAATGAGATAGAACAATGTGACAGCTATGACGCCAATACCCTCTCAACCCAGCTGGTGCCGCAGCTCTGCTACACGGTGTTCGTGGCCGGTCTCCTGGGAAATATCTTGGTTGTGCTTGTCCTGGTAAAATATAAGGGACTCAAACACATGGAAAATATCTATTTTCTAAACTTGGCAGTTTCTAATGTGTGCTTCCTGCTTGTCCTGCCATTTTGGGCTCACGCTGCTGCACCTGGGGAGAGTCTTGGCCAGCCTGCGTGTAAGGTCCTCGTGGGACTCCATGCCTTAGGTGTGTACAGCCAGGCTCTTTTCAATACCCTTCTGACTGTGCAAAGGTACCTGGTGTTCTTCCAAGTGGGAAGCTTTTCCCCGGCCACCAGGATGGTGCCCTGCACCATCACTACAAGCATCCTGGTGTGGATAATGATCATTCTGGTCACTTTGCCTGAATTCATGTTTTATAAGGCCCAGATGGCAGGCCAGAAGTACAAGTGCTCCTTTAGCAGACCTTACTTCCTGTCAGCTGATGAGACATTCTGGAAGCATCTCCTGACCTTAAAGATGAACATTTTGGTGCTTGTTTTCCCGCTGTCTGTTTTTATGTTCTGCTATGTGCGAATGAGGACAACACTACAGTTCAGGGAGAGCAGGTATGGCCTTTTCAAGCTCGTTTTTGCCATAATGGCTGTCTTCCTTCTGATGTGGGCACCCTACAACATTGCCCTTTTCCTGTCTGCTTTCAAAGAGTACTTCTCCCTACATGACTGCAAGAGCAACTACAACCTGGACAGAAGTGTCCAGATAACGAAAATCATCGCCACCACCCACTGCTGCTTCCCCCCTCTCCTCCACGTGGCTCTCAACAAGGCATTTAGGAAGTACCTCTGCCGCCTTTTCCATCTGTGTAATAACACTCCACTTCAGCCCAGGGAGGAATCTGCACAAGGGACAGCATGGGACCAACATGACCATTCCACTGAAGTGTAACTAGCTCCCTCTACAGGTGGGGCAAATAAACACTGACTTTTATTCCTTTGCATCATTTTGTGAAATTGTTTTAAACATTTACATATGAAATAGAGTACAGGAAGAAAAGAGGGGTGGTGAGTGAACACTGACTAAGCACTGACTGTGTCCCAGGCACTGTGCTAGGCTCTTCACAAACACGAGCTCCTCCGCTGCTCACCACTTGTCCATAGTGTGGGTGGGGTTAGTCTCATTTCTCTGAGAAGGAAACTGAGGCCCAGAAATTTGTCTAAGATCACACAACTAGAAAGTGGCAGGACTGAGACACAAACCTGAGTATCATTTGCTCCAGAGCTTTGTTCAGCCAGCTGAACGTCCAAAAATTGGGCAGCAGAATACACAAAATAAATATGTGCTTTTAAAACCAATTTGATTATAAGAGAAGCAACCCATTTATACGGAAGTTTTTCAGGAACATTTTCTTGCAGATAATTAGAAGAATTGGCTGGTTGGAAGCTATGGGGGAAAGAGGTGAAGTGACTTGTTCTGTGGAGTTCCCTGAGGTCTCTTGGCTACTTGCCACACCCCAAGGCCTCCAGGTCCCCAACCTGTAAGCCGCCAAGGCTTCTAGTGTTTCCTCCTAATTTATCATGAAGGCTATGGAATCTTAGGAAATTTAACAACAGTAAATGCAAAATTATGTTTAGAAATGTCTAACAAAATGAACGCTTTGTCCTTTTAAATATAACATGTGCCTCAGGCCTCACCAACCTGTGACTACAAAATGATGTTGTACTGGCTGAATTAGTAGAGCACAGGCTCCCACCTGCCACATCAGCACAGGCCAACTCTTTCTGCAGGGTTACCTCCCCTGGGACCCCCCAGATCCCTTGATCCTAAAACAGTCCTCCTGTGACTAGTGTTCAGTACTGGACTCCAAACTCACTGGTCTCTTGAAAATCTTGCCTCTGGTCTTTGAGGCCTCGAAGCCACTACTGCCTTGTGCCATGGGGCAGCCATTGCACATGGCTGAGTCCTGCAGATGCGGGGCCTGGGCTGGCTGCTTCTCCTTGCTGGCCCAGCAACTCACTTGCACTGAAGAGAACTGGAGGCTTAGCACTGATACGTGCTGAGGACATTGCCAGTTCACCCCCTCCTGCTGCCCCCAGAGCACCAGCCCACACTGCTCCCTTCCCGGCATCAGACGTACGTTCATGCCATCCAGGCTTGGAGGAAAGCAGTGGGTCTTGATCCCCCCTTCACAGGAGACTCCCTCCTTCCCAGCTAAAATTGATGGGGTGCAAGGTGACCTCTTTATTTAAGGATAAGGTTAAAGCAATGAAAAAGTAGATGCTTGAAGCACTATACTAAAAAAATCAATTGGTAAAATTATCAAAAGGGATGGAAAGACTGAACATAAAGGATAACAGAACAGAACAAAGGAGGACATTTCTTCCATGGACTTATATTGGTAGTGAGACATCCACGTAAATACATGTCTCATAGGACTAAGGAAGAGTTCAGAAGTGAGCAATTAGATTTTATTGATCCTTAGACACTAAGGACTGTGAATGATGCTTTTCCAGAGAGAATTTGTATGCTGGCAATATGTCTACCAAACCTATTCAAACTTTTCAACGAAAGCTCAAAATATTCACAGGCTTCTCTTAGAAAGTAGCTAGTGTATTTTCCTATGCTTAGATACATGCTTTAAACCTAATGTGATTTATCTATATTTCTAAAGGATCCCTCCATTCGAAAGATGAATGCTAGTCATCATCATGAAATAGAGAAAAGAAAGAAGCTGATGGTGACATTTTAAATGAAAAAAAAAAAAAACCACAAAAAACAAATAAACAAAAAGCCTGGCCGGTTGGCTCAGTTAGAGCACAACTTTGTGACACCAAGGTCAAGGGTTCAGATTCTCATACTGGCCAGCTGCAAAAAAAAAAAAAAAAGACGTTTTAAATGGCAGTCAATCCTTTTTCTATCTTTGAAAAGGATGTGGAACAATTGGAACTCTCATGCACTGCTGATGGAAATGTAAAACAGTACAAACACTCAGGAAAAATCTTTTAGTTTCTCAAAAAGTTAAGCATGTACCTACCAGCTATTCTGTTCCTACATATCAACCCAGTAAAAATGAAAACATATTCATACAAAGACTCAAACATGGATTTCATAACAACTTTATTTATATAGCCCCAAGCTGGAAACAATCCAACTGTCCATCAACAGGTGAGTGGATTTTTTTAAAAAGGCATATGTGTGTGTTTGTATACCCACACACACATACATTTATATGAATACTACTCATCAATAAAAGAAACAAACTATTGATACACACAACATGCATGAAATCTCAAAATGCTAAGGGAAGCCAGATTTTTTAAAAAGAATAGTTATTTTAGGATACCATTCATACAAAATCCTAGAAAATGCAAAGTAATCCATAGGAATAGCAAATCAGTGGTTAGTGCGGATGTTGGGGGCGAGAGGGGAGAGGGATAGATTACAAAGGGGCACAAGGAAATTTGGGGAGATGGTGGATCTGTTTGCTTTCTTGATTGTGGTGATGGTTTCACTGGTATATATATGTCAAAAACGTATCAAATTTTGTACTTTATATATGTTGTTTATTGTATGTCAACCATACCCCGATAAGGTTATTTTTAATAAGCCTCTGAGACTCCCCAGACACTCCATTATGTTAATGGGAATTGTCCTGGAAATAAACCCTAAGCATTTGCCTGAGGACATCCCGTGCTGGAGTTTCTGTTACATCTGCCACGTAGAGCTGCCAGATAAAATACAGGACATCCAAGGACACAACCTCTCCCTCCGTCACTGACCAGGGAGGAGGGGGAAGTTGCTCGCAGAGACCTCGTGGGGAGCAAAGTCTCAACCAGAATACCATTAACTGGCAAATGAAAATGCCATGGCAAGTCAAGAGAGAGACTGGGGAGAAAGAATCCCAGTAGATATGAGAAGAGGACCAGAAAAGTTCAAGAAGAGGAGAAGAAAAGGGAACAGAGAAATTCTCTTCCCAAATTTATAGAAGTAGGTCTGGACTCTCCACCCACATTTCTCCTATTCCATGTAGGACAGAAATCTCAGAGGAAATGACATCATTTCCAGATATTTACAGACACAGTGGTGAACTCAGAGAACAATCTTGTCAGAATTTTCAAAATGAAAACATGGAGTGTAGAGAGAGTAGAGATCTCCACACTCTCACAGTGACTGAGAGTGAAATGGTTATTGAACATCCAGTCTGTGGCAAACGACCCACCTGCAATGGCCCAAACACTCACGTAGTATATTTGGAACATTAACAATCCCACAGGGTCTTCCTCTCATGTCAGATCCAGAAGACAGTTTCCGAAAGATAGGCTCTTCCACAAACTACTGCATTAGATAACTAACAAAGAGTGAACAGCAAAAGAGAAGATGGCTAGTGTGTTAAAGAGAAACTAACAGTGATTCTGCTTTTCCTGTGAATTATTTTCTAATGCAAAAAAATTTTCCTGTTAGGTCATGGTAATTCTGATTAGGGACATTTGAGGGAAAGATTGCAATCCCATGGACTGTCTCCCATCCATCTCCCTTCTGTGCATATGTGGGTACAAGCGAAACTAATTTAAAAATGGGAAACAGCCGATGTATTGAATAGAAAAGCAATACAATTTGAAGTTGAAAAATCAATACATAATTTCCAGTTAAATTTGATTTTGTTTTGTTTTGTTTTCTTTTTTTAAAAGATGACTAGTAAGGGGATCTTAACCCTTGACTTGGGGTTGTCAGCACCACGCTCAGCCAGTGAGCCACGGGCCGGCCCTTCCAGTTAAATTTGAATTTCAGGTAAACAGCAAATACTGTAATTGTTATTTATGGGACATACTTATACTAAAAATTATTTGTTGTTTACCTGAAATTCAAATTTAACTGGATATACTGTATTTTTCTTTGCTAAATCTGGCGACCTTAATCCCAAGGAATTTACTTATTTTAAAATAAATTTTAAACAAATTTACTCATTTCTAATAAGTTTTTTTGAGAGGACTAGAGCAAATATAAATACCCCTGGGGCTCTTTCAACAGGCAGTGAGAGGCGCTACAGTGCGATGGGCAGCAGCCCCCAACCCAGCCTTTCCTCTTCCCATTACCCTAAACTGCCACGGGGGACGGCAGCTCCAGCTCTCAGGAACGCCGGTTCCCATCCGAGCAGCCACCTCAGAGTTTGGGAGGATACTTCACCTCGACCCTTTTGTAGTGACATTCAGAGTCGTGTAAAAGGTTTGAAGTGCGGGTCATTTTTTGCGAGTATCCTAAACTCATATCCTTTTAGTTTATTCTGAAGAATTCTATCTCGGTTACATCTTGTGTTTCCCCTTTTTTAAGATGTGCTGTGGCCTTATTAGCCCATGTTATCCCCGCTCCCCAGACAGCTCACCCTTCACTGTCTGAGGCTGTCACATCAACCCTGAATTTCAATAGTATTTCATACTTTACGCAGTGCTTTCACAGACATCCTATCTGAATGTCACAACAGTCCTTCAAGGAAAATTGAGTACCATCAGCCTCTTTTTGTAAGTGTGAAAGCTGAGGCCCCAGTCACAGCTCTCAGGTGTCAGAATCTGGAGCTATTTTCTGGTATCATTCCCAGTCCTGCACGCTTCCCCAACTTTCCATTACTGCACATCACCCCAACCCTGGACTTCTTTGTGTAACCATGGACTTGGTCTGTAGAGTGAGTTTCCTTACACTGGATTTTTCACAACAATCCAAAGTATTGGGGGAAAGCAGTTCCTATAGTCACTGCTCTCCATAGCCCCCATTTAGAGACAGTTAGAAGCAAAGTTCTTCTCCCAAGGACCATCTTGGGCACATCTGCCAGAAGAAAAACTTTGATCCAAATCTCAGACTCTAAGTCCCTTTTCCTAGGTGCTGTGGCCTTTTGCTGCAAGCAGATGGAGGAATCACTGTTCTGGAGACCCCTGCCATGCCTACTTGGGGAGGTCATGTTAAGGGGTGTCTCTCTCCTCCTGTGGGACCTCGGGCTTTCCATCAGTG